AATCCGCGTGGATGAGGCGCATGCGAAATGAACGGAGATACTAAAAGGTACTAAAAGTAACGGCTACGCGGCACGATAACTGCGATATTAAGCCGCAACCGTGGATTTTACTCCTGGCCGGCTCGCTCTATTTCAATGGTGGTTCCTACTCCTCGATTCTCTCTGTGTTTCGTCTCTTAATCTACGGCGTGCACGAAAACTGCGAAACTCGCCGCGGGGGCGTTTAACCAGAATTTAAGTTCCATAAGCGACGAGACCCGAGAAAGAAGAAGAAAAAACAAAAAAAAGTCGAAGGACGAGAGCGTACCTATGAAAACCTATGTAATATCTTGTGTATGCAGACGTCACGTACGCGGTGCGTGTTCACAAGTGTGTAGCGAAAAGTGTTCGTGCCGAACACGTGTTCTCCGCGTTAATGCGTTACCCGCACCGCGACGTAAAAAGGCATTTTTCTCGAACCGGCGACGCAGCTCCGCTCCAACACTTGCGAACGCACTTTTATACTGACGCGATGTGCGAGCCGTGCGATCAATTCATTCGGATGCATCCTCTCGTCGAGATCGAAGTTGTTGAAGTAACAAAAAAAAAAAAAAAAAAAAATAGCCACCGTCTGATATCACATGATTCCTTACAGTTCATATTTTTTCCTTCTTACATTCTACCGCTATCTCTTTTCCTTCTCTCGCATATCCGCAAAACGAATTGCTTTGTCATATTTCTGAATGCTTTTATTATCGGAGACGTGTGTCTCAATTTTCAGAAAATCATTTTTATCGTCGCCTTACATACATTGAAAATATACACGTCGTTATCAAATTAATTCCCATGAATATTTAACGCAAAAAAAAAAAAAAAAGACGTTATCGCCTTTGATTTGTAGTCTTTTTACGTTCTTTTATCTTCGTACATATTTGCGGCAGTGCAAATATACATGAACATAATACGTGCATGAGCGCGAAGCTGAAGCTGAGAAGCGACAGAGAGGGAAGTAAAGATAATAACGTACTCGACGAAGAGAATGGCACTGCTCGCGCAGTCATCTGCCCGCAGTATGAATTACATTGGCGATTGAAACTCGTTCGTGGTGGGAAAAAAAAAAAGAAAAAAGCACGCGCGCAACCTCGGGCTGTCGGAGGTGCCGAGATTTGCATATTAAATGGGTTGGGATTTATAACGGTCGGTCTTTCGAGCGGTGTTAGCAATATGTGCGATAAATAAAGAACCTTCCTCGCCGCGCGAAGTCTCGATAACGCGCGAAGTTTAGTTTTTGCGCGAGTGAAACATGAATTTCGCGCAGAGAGAAGAGTGGCAGAAAAGTCAAGAAAAATACTTGCGGAACGTGTACTTTACTATGACTTTTGACGTTTGAAATTTCTTGAAATATTATGATATATTAAAACTTGTCGTAACACGCGGCACGAAGTGACAGCATGTTTTAAGTATTATTAATTTATTGCAACTAAATTTACTGTACAGGTCGAAAAATGAAACCTGAACCAATCTACACTTGTAAACACGATAGATTTTTGCCCATTTTAAATTCTAAAACATATAAAAATATGAAAACACGATTAAGAATAAACCTGCAAACGCGGAGAGAGTCTAATCCCAAAGTATAATATAACTAATGTACTCAATTAATCTATTTAAATCAAATCATTTCCGTACGCCTTCACATCGTTTTTGCGTCTCTTATTCATTCGACGTTACTCGTAAGATTGATCGAATAATCCGGCCGTTAGAAAATTTTCTGGATCCATTCGAGGGTTATACTGACCCTCTCGAACCGGTTTTCATCGCTATTCGGCGGCAATATCGAACTAAGTTATGTTCCGCTTGCGCGAATTTGTGTGTTCCGCGTGCCTCGTCGGCGCTTTTGATATACGAATACCTCGTCGCGGCGGGATCGAAACACGGGTGGGACACTTTGTTGCGAAACGACCTTAGTAATATCTATTACCGCGTCGAATTTAAGGGGCATTAAAAGATAAGTTCTACGAAAAGATGTTCCCGCGTGTGTTACACAAAGTATAAAATAAATACGATCCTATAATATAAAATTCTGTGCACAGCGTCGGCTTTATACATTTTTATACGCCCCTCTTTTATATACTTCATCATTTGTTACATACACGTGCAGAAGCAGAAGAAATAGAATTATCCTATCGATTACAAAGCGACCTAAATTGTTCTCGGAAAGTTGATAACTTTTAACCGTCTTATTATTATTCTGATAAACATTGTATATATTATCGATAAATGATTCTATTATTGTGGGTGTTATCTATATAACAAGTAGCATAGAAAAATATAACAGAATAGACTACTGAATTTATCTGTTGAGAAATGCTATGATGTATTATTTAAGAATCTCTTTAACCTAGGCGGTGACACTTTGCGGTGTTAAAAGTGTGAAGGAGCTCATTTATCTTCGTTGTGTCCCATCAAATGAGTTTTTCGTCTAAATAAGCATCTCGTTTTACTCGATTGTAAGAACAAAAACGTGGCACTTGCTTTAAACGTATATAGAAACTTTCAAATATATTGTTTAATGCGAAATGATTACATATATACATATTCGACTGATAAAATTCCGCTGATAATTTGACTGATAAAATTTGAAGAAAAAAAAAAAAAATTTCCAATACGACACACACACACACACACACGACAGAACACATGCCGTTTTTCCGTGAAATTGTCGCACGTGGAAGAAAAATATGGACTACCGCCGTCAAAAGCGATAATCGGCTAACCGCGATAATTTGTCCATGCGTTTGTATATCTAAAAAGCCGTGCGTCTGAGTCAGAGAGTCGGAGCGATGATAGCAAACACAAATTGGTGGTGGCTGGACTAATATACCCGAATATGATGAATGGTCTTTTATATCCACGGATGTAGTAAGGTGTTGTGCGTTACGTTAGTGTTGAATTATTGCGTGCGTGGGGCAGCCGCGCGTCGGCACAATAACGCAGCCCGCGGGAGGGCCCGATCTCAGGGCCCCGACTGGGTCCGACTGGGTCCGATTGGGTCCGACTGGGTCCGACTGGGTCCCTGCCCACGTTCGTGGTCCGAGCTTTTACCCGCGAGACATCGAGATACGCGATTCCCGCTCGATATACCTCTCTCTTTCCCCTCTCACCTCTTCTTTCCTTCCCTCGCCTCGCCGCGATTTTAATCGAACCGCGTTACGAGCGAATCGAAAGATCAATCGCCATTGATCTCCCGGAGGATTTATGATCGTCTCTCTCTCTCTCTCTTTCTCTCTCCCTCTCGACTCGTTATTACCATTCATGAAGTATAATAACCTGCGAAACAAACGATGCTGTTCGATACTTTCGCGCATGATCTCATCCCCGATTCGATCGAATCCTCCGCTTATTCATGTTGTGTGCCCTTCACGCATTTGTCTCATTCTGTCACCTCTTCCAAATTTCTATGTTAAAAATATTCTCGAACATCTTCCAAATTCAATACAACCGAGATCGATCAGTTCTCGCGCATTACGTAAGAGTCTGTCAACGCCGCGCGTTATCGCTTTCCGAACGATCGTTTAGCAGCTCTTTACTCTACCAAATTGCCGTTCGTAAAATACTGACGACGCTCGATGGAGAAAGAGACAGATACGTTGATCCAATCTACTCTAATTATCGCTTGGGAGGAAGGCATAATAATAGCATCGTCTCAGACTCAAAGTTGCGCCACAAACTTCGTACAGACAGAGGGAGAGAGAGAGAGAGAGAGAGAGAGAAAGAGAAAAAGAGGGAAAAGAACAGAAGCACTGACGCGCTCACTGGCGGGCTTGATTGATGGACGAGTCGCCATGTTTATAATTAGAGCCCGACGTTTCCGGTTCACCGTCCAACGTTCGGGCCACGATTCGCCGCGGATCGATCTCCTTTCTATAACCGTTGAAAAGTTTCATCGGCCCGCAGCGGCCACAGCGTGGAGCGGCTCTGAGACACGAGTAGTCACGACTGCGCTAATTACGGTATCTCGGAATCGTTCTAGTCTCCTGTCTGTCGTGCGTGCGATAGACGCGAGCACGCTATCGCCGCGCGGAAACGCGCGTGAGAAAATGTGCGATTTCATGGGCGTTGTTCCGCTCCGCTCGTCGATTCTAATTTCGGTGCTTTCGGTGCCGCCGAGAGCAGATGCAACGTGTTATCGAACCTTTTAACCACGTGGACGTTTACGACGCGGTCGGACGGTACCGGCCTGTACGAAAATCCACGTGTGCAGGAAACGAGATGCGGGTCGCGGTAGTCACGCATGTGTGTATATCTTTCTCAACGGTCGACGAATTCAAACAGCGGATCTAAAGAAATTAGCAAAGTGTGTCTTCTACGAAAAAAAATTCAGACGGCCGCCGCTTATGGATTTATGCCGCCTGTTCTTCCGAGCTTCTTTTAATCGCGTGTCGCGATATATTTCAGCGTATTTTTCTAAAGATGCAAAACACGGTAGGAGTAGCGCGTGACAAAATGTATGATGGATTACGAGTGAGTTAAATATAATTTACAGGTATACGCAAATGTGTATAAGTAGGGGGGACGTACCCTTATAAATCTAATACTGGCCAAGACTGGAAAGACAGTAATCAATTACTTATTTCAAGTATCAAAAGCACCGTTGTTCGATACGAATAAGTAATTAATTACTATCTTATAGTAATAAATCAACCAGTATAGATCTCTGTAAAGACACTTTCTTACTTTTTAACGTGCAAATTTGCGGTTTGTATTTTCGCTTTATAAAACAAATTGACAAATAGCGAAAGAATCTCGCGGAGAAGACGAGGGTCGTGTCGAACACAATTTTACGAATGAAAGAGCCTCGTCTTTGAGAACATGCTGCGAAAACGTCCAATATTTGTAATACAAACTCCATTACGTTACTTGATAATTTTTTTTCCGCAGGCATCATGCCAAGCATCATACATTATTATTACGTTAGACCGAATACATCGGGGTAATTATTATTCTGTCGATAGACTCACCTCTACCCTGCATGAAAGTAAAGAGTTCGTCAAGGAATATCTTCCGTTCAGGGGTACCATCCAGGTCATACAACTGAAACAAAAAGAAATAAAGACAAATGAGTCCCGCCATAATATACAAGACAAATAATACATTTCGATGTACGGGAGCGTCTTGCCACTAACGTATATTAACTCGTATAGAGACGTGCGCCCCTTTTTCTATATTTACAGAAATTACATACTATGTGTAATGATGGGACATCTTGCGCACGATAATGAGTACATCTCCATTACAGCATTACGATATTGTACTAAATTAAATAGGAGCGTAGACGATAAGAGCTTCCCATGTTGAGCCGTTACGGTTAATGCAATTCAACGTAATCAAGCGACAATCAACGTTTTTACGTCGCGAGCGTCTTTATAATCGCACAAATACTTTTCCCCCCCTCGCAACGCTTTCCCGCGCCGATCGGGAGAATAAAACGTTACCTTGCGGCGTGGTAATAAAAACAGGAGTGAAACAAGTGTGCTCATAGCGACAGGCAGATTAGTTAGCTCCGATTATTAATGATTCCGTTTAACCTGCCTCATAACCCGAAACCCTCGCCGACTATATGAAAGCCAAACCCCCTTCGGGCTAGGCGGCCCGTATTATCATATTTGTTATGTACGATGTGCTATATCTAATCTGAGACCTCCTAATTGCTTTTATAATATCAGCCCCGTACACCCTCGCTTTCTCTTCTCCTAATGTCTCTCTCTCTCTCTCTCTCTCTCTCTCTCTCTCTCTCTCTCTCTCTCTCCCTCTCCTCGTCCTCTTTTTCTCTGGCGCTTTCTACATCCCTTAAACGCTCATTCGACAAGCTTGTTGCAAACTACTTGAGAGCTTGTTCCTCTTTTCCTCTTCCAATCCACTTTCCGCTCTTCGCAATCGCAACTCGACTCGCACATTTTGCCGCGACGATAAATTCTATTCGACTAATCGCGCGGTGTTTCGCAACACTATCTCTCCCCAAGGGCGAATAATAATTAATACGATACCTTACGCTCACGCCTTACGTCTATCCCATCTTGTTTTCCCCCGCCTAGACCGCCCGCGCGATTATGAAAGCAACAATAAAACCAGTGTAATTGTAAAATCACGGAGTGCAGGTATATTACGCGCTTGAATTTCAGTCGATACTCAATATAAACGTCCGTTTGATTATACGGAAGATTTTTTTCTTTAACATCAATATACTCTTTTACATTTCAAACGGTACGCGTTTATTTTAGCAGGAAAACTAATTAACTGTATTAATATTCGAAATGACCAATCGAATTCGTGGCTCTTGTATTTTATTATTAGCAATGTAATTAACGAGAGTACCGCACAGAACGGTATCGCGATATAGAAATGTAAAGTAATACGTCAAAGCGTAACGCCCATGTGAAGACGTAAATGTCGGCGCCTGTCATGGGAAAAAATGCTGCGCGCACGAGATGTATGGCGACAAAACGAAATATGTGCAGTATGTGCACGCACGACGCGCGTACAGCTGTGTAAGAAGAGGGCAGTTTCTCAGCATGCAGCGGCAGGTGCCATTACAGGCAAATCGCCGCCACGTGCAAGTAGATCGTTAATCGAAGTTAATCAATCGGAAGAGAGAGAGAGAGAGAGAGAGAGAGAGAGAAAGAGAGAGAAATCTACATTCGTATTCCTCGAAATGAATTTCTGCGGCAACCCCTTCGCTCCTCTCACCCCCTTAATCGCGTTCGCTACCCTTGATGAGAGAGCGCGAAGCGAACGAGCGTATCGTAGGAATGAAGGAACGAAGAAACGAACGGATGGACGGACAGCATTTCTCAAGGGCCATTTTGTACCACTTTCTCGTGTTTTTTCTTTGGCTACACGAGCGATGAGCTCGTTAGGGGCAGCCGGAGGGAGAGGACGAAGTAAAAGGCAAGGGAGGAGAGGACGGAGTATAGAGGCTGAGGGTTCAAGCGAGGTATATTGATTGATCTACAGTTAAGCGGACTGACGGCAGCCACGTGAGGATCAGGGGAGAAGAGCCCCGCTCTCTCTCTCTCTCTCTCTCTCCCTCTCTCTCTTTCGCTCGTTCGTATTCTACATGCCGACCATGTGTACCTCACTACCGTGGTAAAATAAAGACGGGGCAACGGAATTTGCTCTCGATGATGCATGCGCCGCAGCCCCGCCCTCTCCTTCTCTCATCCACTGACGGCGAGTGAATAATAATTCCTGATACGACCGCCGGTTGATCGGACGACTTTCGTCCCAGGCAACCACGAGGAGAGCCAACTTTGCCGATGATCGATGTACGCGTGCTTAGTAACGTTAACGGACTCGAAGGTGCTGTGATTATAGGCGACCGAGGTGTATACACACAAGGTGGGTCCGGCAAGAATATCCGGTAATGATCGCATTCGATGAACAGAGTGATTCCTTGAAAATTTTAATCATCGAATTTCAATCATCTCCTCTTAACGGTGTCTGTCGAGCTTGTAAACTCGTTCGTTGCAGAAATTAGCTGCAAGATGTTTGCGATTTTATTACTCGCTGATTGCGAGTCACGATAAACGATGATATCTGGCCAATTCATCGCAAAGTCGAGTTTGTTGAAAAATATTATCGTTAAATATGAATATGATTGAAGGAAAGTGGGACATCTGTCGCGAATGTACGAAATCGCGAGTTGCGTTTCTTTGAAATGTAAAGCTCGTCGAGCTGATTTCTAACTCTTTTTCGTTCTGGCCTCTTGACTCATCGCACGATGAATTTTACGACCTCCAGACGCGAAACGCGATAGAAGAGATACGAACGTAGAGAACAAGAAGAGATCTCTCATAAGTACTTGGCGTGGCACACGTCGCTAGCTTTATGAGCGACAATTATCGATGCGCGACTTTTCCCACTCAATCAGAGATTGAGATAGTTTGCTTTCTTCCGGTTACGTAAGGAGCGTCGATAACTTTGTTTTCATTGCAAGTGAAATAGAAATAAATATAAATACTTATTCACAATATCGTACGAAAAACATTTTCTTTACGAAAAACCGAAATTTTCATATATCATATACCTACACTCTAAATTTCTTACAATGAAATCTCACTCTCAAGAAAGTAAAAATACAACCACCTTTGAAAATATTTAACTTCTTGAAAAAAAAAGTGACAATTTTTTCACTCTTTTTAGAGTGAATCTTCGCTCCGAAAAAAAAAGAGATTTCACTGCAAGAAATTTAGAGTGTACATACAGCATGATATTTTTAAAAATACATCTTACGGTCCCCTGAAACAGATGATAATGTAAAATTTCCATACGACTTGCCAAGCCTCGCTAGGAGGAATAGGGGACATCGGTGAGCAGCCAGTACCTACACTCGCCGACTTATTATCTTAATTATATAATTAGCCATAGGTCCGTGTACCTTGAAAAGCTCCTCGCGCGCGATATATCATTACGTTGCATCCGCCCCCGCAAATGTAAGGGGTCAACTTCCGGCCGTAAACCCTTCTTAAGGGTGCGTCTCGAACAGGAACGGAAGCGGGCGCAGTCTTACGTAATACGCTCCGACTTTTCCTTTCGAGATTCAAGATCGAGATATCGGATAAGAACGTAGGACCTTTACGCGGGGACACGACACTCTTATCACGCTAATGATAATGCTAAAGTATTGTCGATTTATACTGCGTTAAGATTAAACGAATTCTTATTCGCGAATACCAATTTTAAAATTTAAATGTGACAAATGTCATTTTTATTACGATATAATATTAAGGGATTTGATACTTCGTAAGATATATTTGAAAACGTCGAAAATCTACATCCTTTAAGGGTTTCCTTTATAATTCTACATTGCTAAGTGACGCTACAGTACTGCTATATTGATACCTAAATTTTATGTACAGATGAGCGAAGTCATTGAATATGTCTGTACGCGTAGCGATTAGGAAGTTCAATCTGCCATAACTAAAAGAGCTAAAAGAAGTAGAGATAGACGGAGATAATTTTCAAAAATTCTATCAGTTATATACAAATCAGTTTAGATCCTTTAGGGGCAGTCGGTATTATAACAGAGAACGTGACAAGTGATTTCAACTTTTAAATAGTTTTGTGATTTTATATATTTTATTTAATATATTCTAGGATCAAGTTGAATTATAAAATAATTTCAAAACATCATCCGCAACTGCGAATTCCGCGGTAGGTTCGCATGAATTATGACAAACGTACGAAACAAGATAAAAATTTTATCGCTCGTGTCCTCCGACGCGACGGTTACATTTGCTCGTTCAAAGGATTTCGAGAGATCGTTAAAGCGCGAATGCGGCGTGATGCAATTACGACGACGAAAATTTTATTTTATTATAGAAATCTTTTGGATATAAAGCGCTTTAGGCGCATATAATATATATATAGTACATAATAAAAAAAGAATTAATATATAAGCAAAATGTTTTTAAGTATCGTTAATAAAATTATATCGCTTTAGAAGAGAAAGAGATCCGCAAAACGTATCTCTTTTATCTAAAGCTACCCACTCGTTATCTTTCGCTTTAGAATTTAGTCGAAGGCTTGAAATTTCAATACGTTCCTCTCTCGTCTTACATAAGTCTCATAGCCACCTTTGACCGAATGAGATTTTATAAAGTGATATCCGGTTAATCCCTATTACAAAAAGCATTCCCACGAAAGCGTTCGATCAATATATATTTTTTCTTTTTAACAAATAGAACAACACTCGTTAAGTTACCAACGATAGACAACAGACAGTGAGAACGTTCTTGAAAACAAGGATGAAAATCGGAGCAAGTTTGATTCGCCGGTGATAAGTGTAGGAAGATATCCGGTGGACGATGGAAATGGGGAACTTTAAGTGGGGATATCAAGATCAGCAGTGGGTTATACGAGCGGCCATAATAGTTGCTACCATTACCCGCTTCCAGGACATTAAAGATAGCAAAAGGCAATTATAATCATTATGACGTCGAGCGGCGCGTACAATGCTGGTGCGTTACGCTCCTATAAAATCTCCGTAACGTCCAGAACAACGAGTGGCCCGAGAAGTCCGGC